GTCGATTTATAATGGCATACTCATACAGAGGTAAGAAGAAAACGGAAGAAGGACAAGAGAAATGCAGATTTCCTTCCCAAGCTTAGGGAGTCCTTGGACTCTTCTGCGGTTTCCCCTTTGGCTTTTTGTTGTTGGGGGCAAAGTCACAGAGGAGATCAGCATCATTCATCATCTACTGCAAATCCTGCACACTGAGCGCACGCGTTTTTAGAGGAATGGTCCCTCCTCAAGGCACCGGGATCTGAAGAGCTGAGGAGATGAAGGTGTTTGCCCAGAAGGCTCCCAACGGTGGCCGTCCTGGATTTGGTTTTATTTATTGGGTTTGAGAATCGTTCACTTCCTCTGTTTCGTTTTCCTTTTGTAGGCCTTGTCTCTTTCCTGTCCCTCTGGAAGCTCCAATCCCCTGAGTTTTCTGAGCCGGTGCCCTTCCGGTGGGTCAGGTTGGTTTCTGTGCTATCCCAGAGCCCGCCCATCTGTTCTGATGAGAACTCGGACAGAGATGCTTAAGATGAAGAAATCTGGACATTGGTCCAGACGAATGTGTGCAATCTAAGTAGGTTTCCTGTAGGGCTGCGAGCCACCTGGGTTGGTTTTTGGAGTTCTAATAAATGTACCTCTTATCTTCTCTGCAAATATGGTCACTATAGTAACTGTGCATTCTCAAAAAATCCACCTAAACCCCCGACTTCCGAGAGCCGTATTTCAGTTCTGAAGAGCGAATTTTACCGCCTCTGCGTGCAGATTTGTAGTAGGAAATCGATTCGGCACTGTTGCGATCCACTTCTTCTAGTTACACAGCCAATCTCTTGGCTGCACCATTTAAATTGACCCCATCGCTGTCGTAAAACTTGATACTGCAGTGCGTAGCCCGAGGACAAAAGGCAACATGATGCCGCTCCACACATCAGATTCTGAGGATTAGGATGCCATTTTTGATTTTAGATGACTTCCAGTCTTCTGTGTGACACGGTCCGTGTTTCTTCCTCAGGCTGTGTTGCTGTGACCCCTCGG